TCAGAGCAGTTGGCGTACCGTCAGAGGCGTTACCCCCTCATGCCCACCTGCTCACCCACCACCAGTCGTACCTCACATGGAGTGACACACTTTCTGCTTGGCTCAGAGCACCTCAGCTCTGCAGCCTGCTGCTGCATGTGTGTGTGTGTGTGTGTGTGTGTGTGTGTGTGTGTGTGTGTGTGTGTGTGTGTGTGTGTGTGTGTGTCCTTTACTGAATTCTGTGCCGTCCTTCAGCTGAATCTGTCCAGACTACCTTCACACTAAACTCACACTAAGAAATTCGCACCAGGCTCTGCCATCGGTGCTGAACTCGCAGGGCTACTTATACGTTGTTACTTCAGTATCCGACGATGCTCGCGGTATTTTTCTTTCTTTAAAGCACAGATTTGCAAACCACAGCCAAATTAATATTTTTAAACTCAAATCTTGAGTTTCTGTAGAGGATCACAGAGCAGGGAGACAGTTTTGTCTACACAGATTAAGGAGTTTGTCTTATCACAGCCCAGCCAATAAAAGTCTCCACCTGGATTTAACTAAGCAGACAGGTAGGAGCCTCCTATTGGATAATTACTGCATAGGCGATAGGTGAAAGACACATCTGGTGGTTGTGGAAAAGATGTTAGTCTATGTGAGAAGGGTCCGATCATTGGTATCAAGCAGAGAAAACATCAAAGGAGATGAAGAAATGACTAAAACTGGGTTAAGAACTGTCCAACGCTTTATTACAACTGGTCTGAGTCCAGATGGACCCTGTTCCAGAGTGATGGTGCATCAGGGTAAGAAGAGAGGCAGATGAAGTGATGCACCCATCATGCCTAGTGCCTTCTGTACAAGCCTGTGGGGGCAGTGCTATGATCTGGGCTTGCTGCAGTTGGTCAGTTCTAGGTTCAGCAACAGGATGTGCACCAAGAATGAGGTCAGCTGACTACCTGAATATCCTGAATGACCAGGTTATTCCATCTTCCCTGAGGGCACGGACATATTCCCAGATGACAATGCCAGGATTCATCGGGCTCAGATAGTTGTAGCGAGATGAAGGTTCTCTGATTTGTGGCAACGGTCACATTTGCCCAGCTGGATCAAGCTGGGTCAAACAGTACTTTTTGAATCCACAGATTAACCCAAGGAGCCACGATGTCTGCTCAAGATCAGAACACCAGTATCTGCTGTTCCGTTCCAGAAGGACACTTCAAGTCACGATGACAATAATTAGATTAATAATTAATAAACTCATTGATTTTATTACTGTTTAAATATAATCATCATAACATGATCACTTGGCTAATATAAAGGTATTTTAATTACATGAAATGGATTATTATGCTTTGGGTAAAATAATAATAATTATAACGATTAAAGATGTGTTTAGCAACAAGGTCAAGTTCACCCTATCCAGCTAACACAGAGTTCAGATAAGCAATAACTGCATCACATGTTTTTGACGCATGTTCAAGCTTTCTCCCGGAGAGAGTGGGAGTGGTCCTGAGAGCTTTTGGTAAAAACTAACCATCACAGATTCAAGTCCAGTTCTTGGACCAACACCACGAGGAAAGTGGAACGGCCGTCTCCTAACCTCCACCTGCTATTCTAGTCACGCCGACTAGAATAGCCAAAGAATAAACGGAACTGTAAACCAGCTAACGAAGACTCTACCAGAGTCATTGATTTCTGAAGTTAAGTTAAAGACGAGAACGTCCACCTGCCAAACGTTTGACAGTCGAGTGACACAAGAAGACATCTCAGGACCGATCTGGCAGTGCTAGAGGTTTTTCTACCAACCTCGTGCACCTGGACACTTCGGATCCAAAACGGGGGTCTTCTGATTGGGTGAGGTAGACCTCGACAGAATGTGTTTGATGCTGTTTCTCTCAAAATAACTCAGTTATCCGCAAAACATCATTTCCACCCAGAACGCTTTCATTCTCTCTGAAAGAAACCTTCTGAGAACTTCATTCACACATCCAAAACTCACCATTCTCATTTTAGCTCCATTCACTCACAGGTTTGCTTTTAAACAAGTTTAATATCAAAACTGTTAAAGATTGTCATTAAAATTGCCATCCATGAATTGTCATTTTATAATTGTCGTTTCAAATCTTCCAGTTTAAAATTGTTAGTAAAAAAAACGTCTTCATTTTTAAACTTGCCTCATTATTGAAACGAAACACAGAAAAGGTAATAGTTCTGGTTATCTGAAAGCAAAGATCCTAGCTTCTGATTTAAAATAACTTTTGCTATTAAATGTAATTATCTAAATTAAACATTAATCTTTGGATTAAAATTAGATTAAACAGGTTGAGGTATGAACTTAGATCGATTTATAAGTATCCAGGATATTTATATGATATAAGCTTCATAGGTTAATCTGATTGGTCATTTTTGGAATCCCACTGAATAGCAACGGAGGTGATTCCAGTATGCAGATTTAACTCTACATAGTGAAAGAGTGGTTCCGGGAGCATGAGACATCATTTTCACACGTGGGTTGGCCACCAGAGTCCAGACCTTAACCCCACTGAGAATCTTTAGGATGTGCTGGAGAAGGCTTTGTGCCGCGGTCAGACTCTACCTTCACCAGTGCAAGATCTTGGTGGAACGTTAATGCCACACTGGATGGAAATAAATCTGGTGACGTTGCAGAAGCTTATCGAAACAACGCCACAGCGAATGTGAGTCATAATCAAAGCTAAAGGTGGTCCAACCAAAGATTAGAGGGTGTGACCTTTTTTGTATGTTGTTCTTGAGTTTCAAAATAAGGAATTAAATCTACAAATAAAATCATAACTGATTTGTTCCTTATTATAAAAAAGGCATTTGCTGCTAAACTGCTGCTAACTGAGTGTTTCTGTCCAGTTTGAAGAGGCTGAAGCTTTCTCCCAGAGGGTGGTGTCTATGGGGGAGGAAGCGGGGGAGTTTTTACCCCGGGCCTACCTGGCTCTGGGCCTCTGCTTCAGCCTACAAGCATCCAGGGGTGAGGATTCAGAAGGCTGAATAATTCAGAACATTTATGTTTTTACGGGTTCTTGAATAAGAAACTCTACAGTTTTACTTTGATCTTTTTATTTTTGCAGCAACTTTGAAAGCAGATCGAAATGAATTCAACAAAAGAGCCTTAAAAGCTTTGAACAAGTATGTCACCATTTATTTAAATCACCTTATTCTCCATCCTGATGCTTAGTTTGAACTTCAGCGTCCTTCTTCCTCTGGTCTACATGTGTTGAGTTGCTGCCGTTTTATTGGCTGATGAGATAATTGAGTTAACAAGCAATCAAATGGGTGTACCTAATAAAGTGGCCAGCAACTCAGCCTGTAAAAACAAGTTCAAATTTGCAAAAACATCATTATGTTAGGACAAAATCTTACAGGAGAGATTTGTGTGTTCCTGCAACATTTGTGCCACCTCGTGTCACCTTGTACCGACAAAAGTGGGCCAAAATCCTCGCGAGACGTTTCTGTCTCAGTCAGGCTTCTTCTCTCACCGGCCGCTGCTCTCTCAGATTTGCATCCTGGCAAGCTGCTGCTGAAGGAAACGGGTCGGTCTCGCAAAGATTGATTCAGTCACTTCATAAAATCAATGATTAAATCGAACATGAGACGTTTCAGACAGACATGGTGAGGAAAAAATGTATGCATGATTTACTCTGATGCCAAAAAACACCAACTAAGCAGCAGCAGCTCAGGAGGTAGAGCAGGTTGTCCTGTAGTCGGAAGGTTGTAGGTTTGATCACAGCTCCTGCCAGAGAATGCTGTCGTTGTGTCCTTGGGCAAGACACTTAACCCACCTTGCCTGCTGGTGGTGGTCGGAGGGACCGGTGGCGCCGGCGCTCGGCAGTCTCGCTTCTGACAGTGCGCCGCAGGGCAGCTGTGGTTACATCGTAGCTCATCCCCAGCAGTGTGTGAATGACTGTTTGTGTTGTGGAGCGCCTTGGGGGGGTGTAGAACCCTATACAAATACAGGCCCTTTACCATCTTTACAACAAAATAACATTTAGCAGAGGTGGAGCCAAATATGGTGTAGAAATGCACTAAAACATAACTGTAGACAAACTTTTACTTTTGTTTACATATTTATCTCTCAGGCCACACCTAGCCGGGTTTGGTTAAACCGTACATCCTCTCCCACTCGTCTATGAAATCCAGAGCATTATTAAAGCACATTCACGCCAAGCCTGTAGGTGGCAGTAGTTCCCCAAGTTGTCTACATCTTTGCTGAGAAACGTTCTTTGGTTGTGGGATAATCAGGTTGCGGCGATAACCGGCCTTTGCCTGTGGTCTTCCACAGAGCAGTGATTGAGTTTATGCAGGGTATCCGCGGGTCCTTAAAAAGTCTTAAATTTACTTTTCCAAATTTAAGGCCTTGAAAATCCTTAACAATGACAAACAATCCTTAAATACTGTTTCCAAAGGTCTTAAATTACCAAAGACCCAATAAACTAGATTATTTTATTTCTATGACATTTTTGTGAATTTCTAGTTAGTCTTCAGCATTTTTTGTGTACGATGTTGGCGTAAGCAGAACCGTACACATTCAGTTGGTTGTGAAAGGGGACTATTTTTAGATGAGCACATTAGCTGGTTAAGCTAGTGGGAGCTTGCGCCATGGAGAAGTGCAAATTTAATGGTAAATGGATGGTTAATCCCACATTCGCGACGTGGTTAGCACCGGTTCCAGGCAATAGCTGGAAATTATAGCTTAAATTTAATTTAAAAAATAGCTTAAATTTGGATCTGGATCGAAAGGAGTCAGTTGAGGTGGTTTGGGCATCTGGTCAGGATGCCTCCTGGACGCCTCCCTGGGGAGGTGTTTCGGGCATGTCCTGCCGGCAGGAGGCCCCCGGGTCGACCCAGGACACGTTGGAGAGGTTACATCTCCAATCTGGTCCGGGAACGCCTTGGGGTCCTGCCGGAGGAACTGGTGGAGGTGGCCGGGGAGAGGACGGTCTGGAGCTCCCTAGTTGGTATGCTGCCCCGTGACCCAAACCCGGATAAGCGGAGGAAGACGACAACGAGCTTAAATTTGGTCAAAGTGGCCTTAAAAAAGGTCTTAAAAAGTCTTAAATTTGGCTCCCTTAAACCTGCAGATACCCTGTTTATAAAACAGGTGGGTGGTAACACAGGTCGTACCTGTGATGTCAGAGGGGTTTTTCTGCTGTGGGCAGTAACGGTGTGAAACCTAAAGTCCAGTTTTTTATGTCCAGAAGCAAATGTTGACAGTGGAGAATGTGCTAATCACTTCGGTCGGAGTTTTTAACAGAATCGGCTTTGGTGCCATAACTAAATTTCTTGGTTTGGTGGAAAACCCATCTATGTGTGTGCAGGCGCTTAGAAGGACCTGACTCTAATCAAACCTTCAATTTCACAAAACGCTGTTGCACTTTGTAAAGAGTTATTTAGTTTATGACTCATGTATTTCAACATGTTTTGACACAAATTGAGATTTATTTGTTACTCCGTCTCAGAGCTCACTCATTAGACCCCCATGATGCTCAGATCTCCATGTACCTGGCTCTCCAGCTGGCCCTTGTACGCCAGGTATGAGCAGACAAACAGTGATATATTTGAGTTTTTACCCCCGTTAAACATCTTGTATCGTTCCAGGTACCAGCGGCCATGGAGGCCCTGCAGGAGGCGTTATCTCTTCAGGCCGATGACTTAAACTCCCTCCACCTGCTGACCCTGCTGCTGAGCGCGCAGAAGCATCACCGTCACGCCCTGGACATCCTGGACCTGGCCCTCAGCCAGCATCCCGACAACTTCAAGTAAAGCACCAGAAAAGAGTCTGAAATGAGGAGATGTGTCTTTAAAGATGCTGCTGAGAGCCTGCTAGATTAGGTCCAGCGAGGCTGTGTCATTCCAGTTGTCCTCTCCCGTCTCTCCGAGGGGATAGAGTGTCTCCGCTTAGCTACGGTAGATGTCACAGACCCCACGCCTTATTTAGACGTGCCAGAGTGGAAGTCTGCATTGCGGTAGCAGTCGTCCCCCCCCTTCTTCACCCTTACCCTTTTTCACTCTGCAGCTCTGACCTCAGACCTGGTTGTACTTCGGTGGCTAAACTCGTCCAAGACATCCTGACACATGGACGCACCTTCCTGCTGCCAAAGCAGCTGGATTACTTACTATAAACTCCACTTTTCAGGAGCAAATTGGGATTAAAACCATAAAGACTAAAAGCTGTTTTTTTGGTGTGTGTGTGTGTGTGTGTGTGTGTGTGTGTGTGTGTTCACAGATTTAGTTTACATTTTTGCTTAACCTTTATTCTGGTTTAATCTGCATTTTAGGAGGTCAAATAGCTCATAAAACACATTCTAGTTACCCATCAGCTAAAAAAAATGAACACCAAAATTAGTACCGAAGCATGTTGCATCATCTCCCCGTTATTCTTCTTCTGGGTTTCAAAGCACAGAAAATGATTTCGTAATGCAGCCATATGGGGTCAGTGTTGGCCTCCAGAGCCTCGGCTCAAACAGATGGGTGATGATAAAATATGGGAAGGGGAAAGCAACATGAAATAAAAAGATGAAATAACAAAGAGGCTGACAGGAGGAAGCAGAGAGAGAGAGCGGGTGTGTGGGTGCTTTTATAATTACACAAGCGCTCCGAGCTGCTGGAAGATGAAAGCTGCTCTAACGTCTGTAAGGATGCACAATCACAGACTCGGAGACACTTATTTACGCCTCCTCAGTGGGGACACTTGACCATTTTGACCCATTTAAGAGCTGTCTTCTGGGCTCAGCCAACCACGTCGCTCGCTGTGCCAGGAATCCCTTATCACCGTGGTAACCATGCAGGCTTACAGGTGGAGTAGATAGCATCGTTTGTTGTGTCTGATTGGAGTCATGACTCAGTCAAAAACATTAAGAGTTTAACCTCCATTTGTATTTGGAGTTTGCTGAAGCAGGTTTTTGCCACCGTGCAGTTTTCTTCTAGAAGCTTTTTTGGTCTTTTTGTGTCAGGTAAGCATTTCTATGGTGGCCCAGATGGTTCAACTGAACACAAGTTTCAACACACCAGAACCTACAGAGTGAGTTCTAATAGGACAAAAGAAAGTAGAAGAGCTGACATAAAACGCCATGAATCAGAAGTCGATGCTAAAACAGAAGTTATGCTAACAACTTCATTACAGCCGCATTTGGGAACGTAGGCCTTCACAGAGGGGTTGTAAGACCAATGACCAGGTCTCGTTTACATAATTGACATAATTAAAGGGATACTAAGCAGTTTTGCTTGCTTTTAGCAGCCCCTAGTGGCCTTTATTAATTATCTGTGGTCAAAGCAAAGTGAAATTTATCTTCTCGCTGTGTGTTCCTTTTTTTAACACCTTAATCTAACAGCTGAAACGTCTCCTCAGACTTCATTAGTTACTGTCTACAGGAGCGATTCATCACTAAATTAAGCAAATCAGCTGAGTTCATGATCTAAAACCTGCAGGAAACATGCTGAACCAGACTGTAGCGCCAGGTATGTCAGCTCAATTTTTCACCAGTCTGAAGCTGCTAATGTGGTATTCTTGCCATAGAGGGCAGTGGGGTTCTGAGTGACTTTCCATTAACCCTGTAAGGAAAAATGGATTTAAAAATATCAAAAAGTTACCTAGTATCCCTTTAAGATATTAGCATGACCTTCATTTCTGCTCAAGTTCCGGTGTTACAACAAAATCTTTTACCCATCAGAATTTGTGACTGAAGGGGGCGATAGCGTGCATTTCTCTGCATGTATGTCTTAAAAGACAAGTCAGGTGAAGAGCATTTACATAGACTGTGTCACTACTGATACATCTCAGATTTGTAAGCTTCAGGGTTTCTGTGAACGCTGAATTACCATCTCACTATACGATAAATATGTAATGAAATATTTGGGCTATGAAGCTGAACGTTGTTGCACACTCTCGCCCCCTGCAGTCAGATGCTGATGGGAGACAGATTTTTATTTATTTTTTTCTGTCATAGGTTCTATCATCTTATTGTGGCTTTTAGTGGTGTTTATTGGTAACACACCAGTGATATGATATATATATATATATATATATATATATATATATATATATATATATATATATACACATATATATATATATACATATACCGTATATATATATATATATATATATATATATATATATATATATATATATATATATATATATATATATATATATATATATATATTATATATTAGTGATGCACCAAAGTGAAAATTTTGAGCCGATACCAATATCCGATATTAAGATCACTGTTATGGTCGATATCCAATATGTGCCTATATCGATATACTGACATTGCTTCTAAAATCAGCAGATATTGTATAGAATAAAAATGATTAAAGCTGAATTTACATTATGTACACACAACACACACATTTATGCTTCTGAGATGATTACAATCACTGTCACATGACTAAATTAAAACACATCAGCCCCCTCACCCTCTGAAACTGATAAACAAATGGAGACAAGATGGAAAAAATATTGATTGTTAATATCGGCCGGTTTTTTGTAATTTTTAATTTTCGGACCGATACCGATATTGATGCAGACATATTGGCCATCCCTATATATATATATATATATATATATATATATATATATATATATATATATATATATATATATATATATATATATATATCAGTACAAGTGAGATGATGTGGTATTTCCTGATAATAAAAGATATTAGCCACTTTTAAGGCTAGATTTTTATTGCAAAACGCTTCCAGGACACATCCAGTGTTATTACAATATTTTGTAATGACAGAATGAAGGTAGTAAAAACTGCTGCCACCTAATAGTCCGTTTCAACTGCACCACACAAAAGAAATATAATAAATATTTGGTTGTAGAGTCTCAATTGGAAGTCTATACATTGATTAAAAATATCAATTTATTATCGTAACATATTGCGATATATGTCTGTGTTTTCCTACATTGGTGGCTTTTTAAACCTTCTGGGCCACCGTATGTTTCGGATCAGCAAATAAATAAATAATTACCATAAAATTATCCGAACCAAGCTGCCCAATGTGAAAAAGGCTTTACACCCCAAAACAACACTCGGTTTCAGCACGCCAGCTCTGGTTTTGCCTCTTTTAAAAGGACCACATAAATGAAATGATGGGTAATAAACAGTGTTGGGAGTAACGCCTTTTAAGTATAACGGCGTTCTTTATTAGGTAACAGAATAATCTAATTAATTACTTTTCCCATTGTTGCAACGCCGTTAAGGTTGGTTTATGCTTGACGCGTCCGCGAGGTCCGCACGGCTCCGCGCTGAAAAGTTGCATCATTTTGCGTCATTTTAACAACCACGCCCCTCCACCGCGTCTCCGCACGGCCCAAGATTTCCGCAACGCGCACCTCGGAAAATTTCTAACCACGCGGACGGACGGATGCGGAAAAACATGGCGGACCGGCACGGCAGAGGTTCGTAAATACAGACATTTGTATGATTCAGCTCTCAGAGATCACAGTGATCAACATATTGTTAATAATTCTTGGAGAGAAATAGCTCGCACTGTCGGAAAAGACGAGAACGCTGTTAAAAATGCTGAAATACCATGTTGTAAACCTCCTCCTTGAACCGTCACCTTATCGTGGTGGAGGAGTTTGAGTGCCCTAATGATCCTAGGAGCTATGTTGTCTGGGGCACTTAGTGCCCCTGGTAGGGTCTCCCATGACAAATTGGTCTTAGGTGAAGGGTGAGACAAAGAACGGTTCGAAGGATCTTTCATGGCGGTGAAAACGAAGAGTCGGAGTACCCGGCCCGGAGGGTTACCGGGGTCCCACCCTGGAGCCAGGCCTGGGGTTGGGGCCCGTGAGCGAGCGCCTGGTGGCCGGGCTTTCGCCCATGGGGCCCGGCCGGGCCCAGCCCGAACCGGATACATGGGCTCGTCCAACTGTGGACCCACCACCCGCAGGAGGAACATGAAGGGTCCGGTGCAATGTGAATCGGGTGGCAGACCAAGGCGGGAGCCTTGGCGGTCCAATCCCCGGACAAGAAAACTAGTTTTTGGGACATGGAACGTCACCTCGCTGGCGGGGAAGGAGCCGGAGCTTGTGGCAGAGGTTGAGCGGTACCGGCTAGATATAGTCGGACTCACCTCGACACATTGCATTGGCTCTGGAACCCGAGACCTGGAGAGGGGTTGGACACTCTACTTTGCTGGAGTTGCTCCGGGTGAGAGGCGGAGGGCTGGGGTTGGCTTTTTGTTAGCCCCGAGACTCTCTGCCTGTGTGTTGGGGTTTACCCCGGGGGACAAGAGGGTAGCTTCCTTGCGCCTTCGGGTCGGGGAACGGGTCCTGACTGTTGTTTGTGCTTATGGGCCAAATATCAGTTCAGAGTACCCACCCTTTTTGGAGTCCCTGGGACGAGTGCTAAATAGTGCTCCATCAGGGGACTCCATTGTCCTGCTGGGGGACTTCAATGCTCACGTGGGCAATGACAGCTTGACCTGGAGGGGTGTGATTGGGAGGAACGGCCCACCTGATCAGAACTCGAGCGGTGTTTTGTTATTGGACTTCTGTGCAAGCCGCAGTTTGGCCATAACGAACACCATGTTCGAACATAAGGATGCCCACCGGTACACTTGGTACCAGGGCAGCCTAGGTCACAGGTCGATGATAGATTTTGTAGTCGTATCATCTGACCTGCGGCCGTATGTTTTGGACACCCGAGTGAAGAGAGGGGCGGAGCTGTCAACTGATCACCACCTGGTGGTGAGTTGGATCAGATGGCAAGGGAACATGCCGCGTAGACCTGGCAGACCC